TAACTGATTCATGAGATCAAACTTTGTCAGTGTGAGCTTTCTGTGCTTTGTGGCAGTTTGCCCCTGTCCCGACGATAAAAGGGAAGCAAGCTCCGAACAGTCCTCCGCCTGTCCACGTAGAGTGCAGTCAGCTTCTGCGCGTGCCTCCGTATGCCCCGTGCGACTCGCACCACCTGCTCCAGTCCTGCCCGCCCTACGATTTGGTTAAGTCCATCCCGTCGTCAGTGGCGCACAGGGCCCTGCGCAGCGGGCACGGGAACACCCTGGCGACGGCGGCCCGCCGGAGGCCGGGTGACCGGCGCGTGCCCCGAGCGCGGCCTCGCCTCTGCGGACTCGACATCTGGCGTCCGTCCTTGCCCCAGTTGGAAGGGCGGGTCGCCGGCGGTGCGCCTGCGGTGCGCCGGCCGCCAACCCTGCCGACCCGGCCGCCGCCAAGCTAACGGGACAGGCCGCCGGCCGCCGAGAGGCGCGGGCCGGACGGCGACGCGGCCGACCCGTTACGTCCGGAGATGCGCGACACTGCGCGAGGCGACAGTCGGACGTGACGTGACCCCTGCCCTGGTCGGTATCTCCGGCTGGGCGGCCCGTCTGGTGGTGACCCGGCGGTGACCCCGGCGGTGACCCCGGCGGTGACCTCCGGCGGTGACCTCCGGTAGTGACCCCGGCGATGGCCCGGGCCAGAGCGCCCGGGGGTTCCCGTGGGAGCGTGTGATGTCACGGTGCCGGTACGCTGCCGGCCGCTCAGACCGCCAGAGCCGTGCGAAGGCCTGGAGGGGTGCCGCTCCCCATCCAGCCTCGCCGCGCCTGTCAGGCCACTGTCGTCGCCTGTGAGCTCTTCCGAGCTCTGCGCTCGCCCGAGACCTGCGCTCTCCCGAGCTGAGCGCTTGCCCGAGCTGTGCGCTCGCCTGAGCTTTGCGCTCGCCCAAGCCCTGCGCTCGCCCGAGCCCTGCGCTCGCCCGAGCTGAGCGCTTGCCCCGAGCTGTGCGCTCGCCTGAGCTTTGCGCTCGCCCAAGCCCTGCGCTCGCCCGAGCCCTGCGCTCGCCCGAGCCCTGCTCTCGCCTGAGTCCAGAGCTCGTCCGATCCCTGCGTTCGCCCGGGTCTGCGTTCGCCCTGGTCCTGCGTTCGCCCGGGTCTGCGTTCGCCCGGGTCCTGCACTCGGCCGAGCCGGTGCTCATTCAGCTGCTGACCGTGCCGGCCGGGGCTGCCGCGGTCGACAAAATCCTAACCTGGCCTGGCTCACTCGAACCGGCGTTCTGTTGTGTTGGCAGAGCTGGTGCTGCTGCTTCTGCTGGCGGAGCTGGTGCTCCCCTGGCCAGCCACAGGCCGCTGCACATGCGCTCTGAAAGTCAGATTAACACTTGTGCGTAGACTCGTAATTATTAACTAGAACGTCAACATTGAGTAGGGAGAGGCATACAGTCAGAAAATGAGAGCGACGATGTTAAAGGCGGAGAGAGGCAGACCAGGTGGAGAAAACCATGTATTTAAGTGTGTGTGTGTTGACAGCTATTGCCGGGGGAGATCAGCTGAGACTAATTTACTTCCTTGTCTAATGACTTTGTTTTCGTGAATGCCGTGCATGCCAGCGATAGCGGATCTCTCAGCTGATGGGTTTTGGAAATCGCGCCTAGGAAAGCGCTCAAGGGGCGTGAGCTGTTCAAAAATATCCTGAAATACTATATAATAATGACATGTATTATATGCATTATATATGTAATAATACTTTGTACTAATAAGACTAGTATTATATCTAATAATACTAATGAAATACTATTTAATAAATAGCTAAAATTCGCAACACCAACCGAAGGGAAAACTTGTCATGTGATCCTGTCTAAGAAATTTAGTGTCTGGCATTTTAGTGTCGGCAGTTTTGCGGGACAGGCCATCTTAAAGACACGGGTGCACCCAGAGTGTAGTGGCGGCAGCGACGTTTGATGCAAGCGCGTCATCTTCCCTGGTGGCAAACTTAGTGCCGTTTGAAAGGGCCGGCGAAAAGTTGGCATTTTTCATTCATGTTCTTTGGTCCTCACGAAGGTACGCATTTCCAGTGCTATGTATTGCATAGTGATGTATTATATATGTATTACATAAGTGACGAGACGGGACGAACTGCATTCACTGCATCCAATATGACAAACGCTCTGTACTCCAGGGCCAGGGAGCAGCACGAGCATAGTCATAAATGGCTACACAAGGCCGTATGTCGGTCATATCTCTAAATGAACTGCAGCGCCTTTAATGCAACGTACCCCACGCTGTATACAAATGTTCACAGCGCTGTTTGTCCCAGTACTGCCTGGTGATCAAATTTCCATGCTGGGCGACGGTGACGGCGGGACCGTGACTCGGTGAGGTCGTCACGGGGGGTCCGGGCGCGGACGAACGACTTGTGAACGGCCCGGCCGTCGCCGCTGCACGCGCCGGGTGCCGGCGGCGCGCTCTCCGGACCGCCGCCAGTCCACACAGCGGTCACGCCGCCCGGCCGGCAGCCAGGCTCGTGAGCGCCCCCTCGCGGCCAACGACGCCGCCGGTCACGCGCGCCGGGACACGACCTCTCAAGAAGCACGCCGCTCGAAATGAAACGGCCCCGGACCCCAGGGAGCGGCCGACCGGGTCGTTACGGCGGCTCGGAACTGGTTGCAGCAGCCGTGGACTTGTTTTTGTTGCGCTGGTCGTTGCCCGTGCGGAGGCCGGCTCGGCGTGAGCTCGCGGCCTTGCTGGGGCCGTCGCCGGCAGGTGGGCGCGCCCTGCCTCCAGGTGCGCCCGCTGCAGTGACTTGTGAGGGCGCGCCGTGGGCTCTTTCGAGCGAGGTGCTTGACGTGATTTGGCCGCTCGCTCGGCCGGCAGACGTGACGCCGCGCGGGCTTAATCTCCGCAACTGCCGTCCTAATTGGGCCCGGCCGGTGATCAGAAGGTTTTTAATTTATCTCCTCTGACATCGTGAATGAGTCTCCGCCCATGTCCCGCTTTATTTCCAATCACTCACCAGCTTCACAGTACCGGTCACGGGCCATTGGCTGCGGCCAGCTGCGGTGGCCGGCCGGGCTCGGCGCGTCCCGGACCGTCGCGAGCTGCTCCGGGCGCGGCGCGCCTTCGCTGGGGCCCGGAGGAGCGCGGTGACCCTGGTCCCGCTAGCTGGTGGGCTCGGAGAAGCCGTCACGCCTTGACAGCAGATGAGCGATAGGGGAGGCGGCGGGCCGCGACCGGTCACCGCGCCGGCCCGGCGCCGCAGACGGACCGATGGAGGAGGGTGTCACCAGCCGCCGATGTCTTTGATCGGCCCGGTCGAGACGTGCGTTACGCCGCATGGCGCGTTCCTCAGTCCCTCTATGCCACCAGTGCTACAGCGAGTTTTTTTCGCGAAGGTCGCATTTTGTATGAAAGGGCGGTTCTATTGGGAAGCAGATATACCTGTCGGAAAATGGTCAAGGCCGATTTTAGGCTCACAATGCTCCGGACATTCGGCCCAGTGCACCAGAAAATGCAAGTCGCCGCTCGGTTTGCGCGGTGCAGACCAGGGGCGGCTGCATTTGCCGCCGCTGCCAACACGTCTGCCGCTTCGACCTTGGACGTGACCTCCGCCGGCACGCCAAACACCGAGGAGAACGCCCCTTTTTCTCCGGCCATTACCCGACGCCACACGTGACGCCACCAGCTGTTGATCGGTGGAATGTTCGTCAGCGCCGCTTCGAGCCCTGTAAATCGCGGACATGAGCCGGCAGAAGGCGGCGCTGCGAAGCGTTTGAGCCGGCAGCGGAGGTGCTGGGCTGGTGCGGCTGCAGGTTGGCAGCGGGGGGGGGGGGGGGGGGGGCGCCGGCTCCGCGTGTCTCCGCGGCGTGTTTGTCCACGCCTCGCCGCTCGTCGCGAGGCGCGGTCAGACGTCGGGTGGCGACCCGCTCAGTTTCCAGTTGCCTCCTGTCTGTTTCTTTGTCTGCTCGTCCGCACGCGTGTCTCGCTGTCCACCCCTGTCGTTCCTGTGTCCGTCAGCGTGCCCTCCTGTCCGCCCGTCTACCCTCTGTCGACGTCCGTTCGTGTCGGCCCGCCTCTACCATTTCTCTTACCCGCCCGTCGGCCTGCTTACACCCCTGTCCGCCCAGCTGAACGGCGTCCGCTCGTCCGCCCCCGCCCCGTCCCGCCCCCGCCCCTGTCCGCACCTCCGCGTGTGGGCACTACCCCGACATTCCACCCGCAGCCAACTGTCAGCCTGACGGCTCGCATCCCAGCCTGACTGGCCGTCTGTCAGCCCGTCCGGGCGGCCCAGGCGCTGCGTGGCCACGGGCGCTCCGCGGGGCGCGCGCCGTCTCCAGCCGCGGCTCGGTGGCGCCGCTGTAATCAGATTGGGCCGTCCGCCGCCTGATCCGCCGCGGGCGCCAGCTTGCGGAGCTTCCGTGTATGGGAAGCCGCACGAGCCCTGCCCAGATCTGGCGGGCCGCCGGACAGGCGAGGCCGCGTCAGGAGACGGCGACACGCCGGCCGGAGCCGCCGCCACCGCCGCCGGCAGGATGACGTCAAAACATGGTCCCGGCTGCTAGTTAACAGGAGGGGCTTATGCCCATGTGTGGACCTGTCCGGTGGCTCTTAAGGCAACCTTGCAAGGACACAGCTGCCTAATCTACACCGCTGCTGCTGATACGCTGGTGTTGCTTATCCAGTGTGGTTTTTTTTACGCACCTGGAGCCGATGGCGTTTGGTTCGGCACACCCTGTTAACAGACGGACGCACAGTCGTCCATTGGTAGTGGAAACAGGCTGCATCTGCCATGCGATCTATGGGGCACATATCAAGGTGTTTTGATTGGGGTGTAAGTGCCAATACGTGTAGAAAGTGTTATCCCATTACAGTGTTGTCCGACTGGAAGTGTAACCTGCGAGGTTTTGATTAACGAAGCTGACGCAATGTCCCCGGGCTCCATGACTGATGATGCTTCCCTTCGCTTCAGTTCGGGGCTCGCCTGATTTCAAGCGGCGCCTGACCTCGCGGGTGCCTCGTGTTTTCAGTCCGGACCTGAGTCGTCTGATGGCGCCGCCGCCGCTGCGGCGCGGCAGCGCGAGCCAGCTGCCGGCGCACGCCGTCACCGAGGACACGCCGGCCGACATGCTGCAGGGACAGATGAGCCTGAGCGTGCTGCTGCCAGACGGCCGCCACTGCCGCATCAGCGTGGATCGCGGGTGAGCCAACGGCGCGGCGGGGCTGGGGCTGGGGCTGGGGGTGGCGCTGAGGCTGGAGCTGGGGCTGGGGCTGGGGGTGGCGCTGGGGATGGGGATGGGGATGGGGCTTGGACTGGAGCTGGGACAGGGCCGGGGACGGGGCCGGGGCCGGGGCCGGGGCTTGGACAGGAGCTGGGACAGGGCCGGGGACGGGGCCGGGGCCGGGGCTTGGACTGGAGCTGGGACAGGGCCGGGGACGGGGCTGGGGCTGGGGCTGGGGCTGGGGCTGGGGCTGGGGCTGGGACTGGGACTGGGACTGGGACTGGGACTGGGACTGGGACTGGGACTGGGACTGGGACTGGGACTGGGCTGGGCATGTGTTCAAGATAGACCAGGACCGGGACCGGGACCGGGATTGGGATTGGGATTTGGATTTGGGTTGGGATTGGGATGGGTACGGGGATGGATATCGAGCACGGGCGGGACCCGGAACTGAAGTGACGACGGGGGGAGTGACCCAACTCTTGATTACTGAAGTATGACGGGGAGTGACTTAGCTCTGCGGACATCTCTCTTGCATCAAATCGGCGACCAGGGGATTACTGGTGCAATGCAGTCAACTGCCTTGGACCATGACCACAGAGTCCGGTCTTTTGCTTTGAAATAATGTAAGCTGATTTGAATGATTTATGCGAATCTGCATTGTCACAAAGTTGAATTGGCCGGCATGTTCAATGTCACAAATAATTTTGTGGCAGTGTCGGAACGTTTCATGGACCAGACAGGTTACAAAAGGGCTGTGTATTGCCGATATAATCTGAGGTGCGCTACCGGTTTTTCGTACGACTATGCATTGTCAATGTATCCTGAGAAGAAACAGCAGTTTTTATGCCGGTTTTCTTCATCAAACCCAGAACGTTGCATCCCACAATGCAATAGCCAATTTTTGAAAAGAAATCGAAGCCGGATTTTCAGTTTACATACATATATACACGAGACCACGCTCCGAACCGCAAGTATGAATCTACTTTTTTGTCCACATGGCATTCTCGAGCCGACCATCAAGGCTGGTTTTGCTGGCCCGCACAACGTGGTCATAAGAGGCGGCCCGTCGGGACTTCTGGCTTTGCGATCAACTGGCGTTGAAGCACGCCTTGTTAACGTTGCTGCTGAATCGACAGAAACAATCACTTGTCAATTGTGGCGTAATTGTGGCGTAAATTCTAAAGTTCATTGTATTCCGTGTACTGTGAAGGCCATATCACGGCCTGCCAGCAACAATATACTCACCCGTTTTTGAAGTGAAGCATTACTATGCAGCTCAGTTCTTTCTGTCGCTGGTGTCGTACGGTGTCAGCCGCCACCCTTTGGCACCGTGCCCTTCCGCTGACCTTGTGCGCTTATGTTTCCGCAGCACGCCAATGATGGACCTCCTCATCCAGGTCACAACGGCCAATAAAATCAGCCCTGGGGGTCACGTGATCCAGGTCATATCCGACCGGAGCCACAGCTGCCTCAGCTACAAGCCCAGCACACCAATAGGTATGGTGCAACCTCCCGGCAGTCGCGTGCGCCGTCCGTAGGCGCATGGCTTCACTTGTGCTGCATCATGTTCGGGCGCCATGTTCGCCTTCGGCTTTGTCCTGCCTCGCCATTGAAGATGTTAGTGAAGAGGCGTCAGCTTTTCACGGTGGCGTCCGAGGCTCAAAAGAACCCTTGACCTTTTTATCGTCTCTTCCCAGTGCGTCGGTCTGCGCCGGTCTCCCTTCATTTGTCGTCTGCGAGTCTCTTGATGCGCCGTGATCGGTGTGTGAACAGACTGCGTCACCAGCGACGGAGGCGCGCGACCTTGACAAGGTCGTGTCTGTCGGCCGAACCATTAGCGTCATCGGCGACGGCGGCCCCAAGGGGTCCGCCTCTGCAAATAAATTATGCAAGAGCTGTTGGCGATCTCTTGTCTCGTCTGTCAATTGACGGCATAGGCAGCAATTCGCAGAGTGGGATGACGAAAGCCAGTATTCTGCACTCGCCGGCAGGGTTTTATATGTTGCAGAGGCCGCTGCCATGGTGCGAGGAGACACTCATTGTCTTGCATGCATTTTTCACGCCGCAATGAAACGCACGGTGTGGTGAGAGTCGTTGTAGCATATTGCAAGAAAACGTCGTGATGGGCAGTGCCGTCTTGCAGGGACCTTAAACAGTGTCCGCGAATTCCTGCGGTTCGTACTTTCTCATGTTGCTTGGGGAGGGATTTTTTACTTGGAAAGGTCTGCACCTAGTCTCACGTATGTCTTGGCGAATCGTAGACGAAACTGTTCGTAACGCAAATACTTTGTTTTCCTGGTGTCTCAAGGCCGCAATAATTTTGAGTGTTTCGTGAACAAAAACCTATGAGGGGTAATCTGCACAAATCCAGTTGAAAGCATTCTTGATAGCTGTATTGTGAGCCAGCGGCAGTTTGCGTGTTTGTGCTCAAAATGGCGCTGGGCGAGGGAGGAATCCTGGTCAAAGGATGTCACCGAATCTCGCAGCACTGGGCCACTTCATCTTTCGTTGCCACCGTGTGAACGTCTCGCTAAGGTGCCACCTCCACAAGGTGGCGCCAATAAATCCGCGATGCACACGGAGCCACCTGCGCGGAGCAGGTTTGCACTCCCGCCACAGGCTGGGCTTGGACGTGGAGCACGACTCGCCGCTGCCCGGAGGTCGTCCCTGTGCACCTCTGTATTCATGAATGCTATTCCCAAGGGTTATCTGTTGGTGGCATTGAAGACGGCACAGCCGGCGTCGCTTGTACGCTAGCCCCTGCGCCCTGCGGCTCGTGACTGAGTGGCTCTGTACCGTCTCCGGCTGAGATGTCGCCCGCTGCGCTCCAGGCACGCTTGACACCACCGCTCTTCGGATCGTGCCGAAGAACAAGCTGAACGAGCCCCCGAGCCGGCGGACCAAAGCGGCGCCGCACAACCCGCTGGCCGACGCCAAGATCCGCATCAAGGTAAGCCCTCAGCTGGGTCTTGCCCCCAGACGACCCACCCCGGCCCACCCCGACCCACCCCGAGACGACCTACCCCGACCCACTCCGAGACGACTCACAGCGACCCACCCTGAGACGACCTACCCCGGCCCACTTCGAGACGACCCACAGCGACCCACCCCAAGGCGTCCTACCTCGACCCACCCCGAGACGACCTATCTCGACCCACCCCGAGACGACCCACCCCGACCCACCCCGAGACGACCCACCGCGACCCATCCCGACCCACCCCGGGACGACCTACCCCGACCCACTCCGAGACGACCCACCCCGACCCAGCCCGACCCACTCCGAGACGACCCACCGCGACCCACTCCAAGCCACTTCGAGACGACCCACAGCGACCCACCCCGAGGCGTCCTACGCCGACCCACCCCGAGACGACCTACCCCGACCCACCCTGAGACGACCTACCCCGACCCACTCAGAGACGACCCACCGCGACCCACCCCGACCCACTCCGAGACGGCCCACTGCGACCCACCCCGACCCACTCCGAGACGATCCGCCGCGACCCACCCCGACCCGCTCCGAGCGTACTGCAGGCCCCAGTGGGACGTCGCCTTTCGCCGAGACATCGCCGCAGTCTAGAACGCATTAACGTATTGGAACGCACTGTGCTCCTGAATGCCGTTTCGAAAGATGGTCTGTTGGTAGCGTTGAAGTCGGCATAGTCGGCCTTGTCTCTATGCTTGCATGCTGCTCCGCCAATCAGAGGCCGGCGGTGCGGCGACAACGCGGCTTTGTTTGAGGTTTGGCGCGGCTTCGTTCCATTCCGTGGGAAATCTGATGGCAACCATCTGTGAGGGTCTTGCCGTCCACCAATTTAGTGCGGTACGAAAGAACCCCGTGCGTGTCAGCGCTGGATTGCGTAATCTGACGTCAAACGTTGGCGTTTGGCGTGGTTGTATCAGAGCTGAAGCAACATTCAGCGACGTTTTCGAGGCTCTGAATAATTACGTGTGTGCTGTTGACAGGCCAAGGGAAGGGAAGGAAGATCGGAGAGATGTACTTGGCATTGTTTTGTCACTTATGTAGATTGCATGGCATGCGCGTGCGCATTTTTGGTGCCCACGACGCCGTTAAAAAAACAAATTGCATTGCAGCAGCCTCATGTCTCATAAAAGCCCATTCGTTCTTTTGTACTCGCCGAGTTCCATCAGATGACTGCGGTCCATTTTGCAGGTGTATTTGCCCCGCAATCAGCTCTCGGCAATGAGAGTCTCTCCGAAAACTCCTCTCGCGGAGGTTTTGGATCAGATATGCAAGGATAAGAACATGGACGTCACGAGATACGAGCTCCGGCACCCCGGTGAGTGCAACATGTGCTGCAACCTATCGGCAACGTCTTGAACCTCGTCCAACGGAGCGGTGCGCTCAAACGTGCGCTGTCTTCCAGCTCCTTTAGTTTGTACCATGAGTTTATGTCACATTGCCTGACTACAAATGCAGTTAATTGAGTGACCCCAGTTCCCGGTAGTGGAGGGAACGGTGATTGGGTGGTTGATAAACGATGTGGTAATGCTGGGGTGCTGGATGAAGTGTTAACACAATAGCAGGTATGTGGTTAGCCTTCCGCCTGGAATAAATGATGGGTGAATGTGTCAAATGCGGGCCTAGCTGCAGCTATTCGAAAGCCTTCCTGAACAAATTCGTATAAACGGTAGGAGAAATAACCTCCTGAGAAAGTTAGCATTAGGAGAGCTGGTGGCTGAACTGAGACTGAGGACGGTGATGGTCGCTGAACTGAGACTGAGGACGGTGATGGTCGCTGAACTGAGCCCGAGGGCGGTGGTCACGGTTGAACTGAGTCCGAGCGTGCTGCTGGTGGCTGAACTGAGTCCGAGCGTGTTGCTGGTGACTGAACTGAGTCCGAGCGTGCTGCTGATGGCTGAACTGAGTCCGAGCGTGTTGCTGGTGACTGAACTGAGTCCGAGCGTGTTGCTGAAGGCTGAACTGAGTCCGAGCGTGTTGCTGGTGACTGAACTGAGTCCGAGCGTGCTGCTGATGGCTGAACTGAGTCCGAGCGTGTTGCTGGTGGCTGAACTGAGTCCGAGCGTGCTGCTGGTGGTTGAACTGAGTCGGAGCGTGCTGCTGGTGGCTGAACTGAGTCGGAGCGTGTTGCTGGTGGCTGAACTGAGTCCAAGCGTGTTCTTGGTGACTGAACTGAGTCGGAGCGTGTTGCTGGTGGCTGAACTGAGTCCAAGTGTGTTCTTGGTGACTGAACTGAGTCCGAGCGTGCTGCTGGTGGCTGAACTGAGTCGGAGCGTGTTGCTGGTGGCTGAACTGAGTCCAAGTGTGTTCTTGGTGACTGAACTGAGTCGGAGCGTGTTGCTGGTGGCTGAACTGAGTCCGAGCGTGTTGCTGGTGGCTGAACTGAGTCGGAGCGTGTTGCTGGTGGCTGAACTGAGTCGGAGCGTGTTGCTGGTGGCTGAACTGAGTCCGAGCGTGTTCTTGGTGGCTGAACTGAGTCCGAGCGTGCTGCTGGTGACTGAACTGAGTCCGAGCGTGCTGCTGGTGGCTGAACTGAGTCCGAGCGTGCTGCTGGTGGCTGAACTGAGTCCGAGCGTGTTTCTGGTGACTGAACGGAGTCCGAGCGTGTTGCTGACCGGCGGAGCCAGTGTCGCATCAGCGTGGAGCTAGGCTGAGCCGCCTCACGCTGGACTGGGACTGGGACTGGGACTGGGACTGGGACTGGGACTGGGACTGGGACTGGGACTGGGACTGGGGCCGGTGCCCGCACGTGGCCTGGCGGCTTAAATGATTCAAATATTGGAACTTAAAGATACGCTGAGCCTGACTCGACCTGTTCCATGCAAACCCGACCCGACCCGATCCATCCCTCTCATGCCGCCTCGTTTAATCATCATTCCATCATCATTTCATCTCGACGTTAATGCCACGCTGATTTAGGAGGCGTCCAGCTTTTCGGACTGGCAATGCCGCTGTTGTAAAATCCCCTTGACCGGGTACACCAGAGATGCTCAGCTAGCTTCGTTGGGGGTTGGCTGTAATACGATTGTGATGGATTGCTCTCACCATTCTTGCATAGTCGATTGTCTTCTATGAACTATTTTTCTGCTATATATTAAGCATATGGGGGGGGAGGATATGCGATCTAGAAAGCACATTAACATCAGTCTGCGGTGCAATTAATCGGAGACGATTTAACTACCATGTCCAGAATGCACAATCCGATGCATAAGCTTCATCCCTCTGATTATGCATACCTTTAGGCTCGTCTTGTTTGCGAATTTGTAGCAGTCATTTGCACGTGCACGGATGTGTTAGTCGTCTTGTCATCGAGAAGGCTGTGCCATGCCGTTATCTCCGTCATTCGTCGGGGGGCAGCCCAAGAACGGCAAGACCGACCACGGGCGCTGTGGAGACGCTGTTTCCTCACAGAAAGCTAACTAATCCTCACGTCCAACGCAAAGTGATAAGGCATCTACGTGCGCGAGGATGCTGTTCTGGACTTTAGGTCGTTAAAGTCGCGAGTGCTTGGTATCATTGCATATTTGTCTGTTTTGCTCTAGAATTTAGTTTCGGAAGATACCCTGACCTATGCCACGGCAGGGCTCCCCAGTTAAAAACGGCGGCAAGATGATCGATCTTTAAGCCCACAACCGTCGTCGGTGGCCACATTCCAGGTGTCAAAAGCTAGGAGAGCACTTCGTTCTTAAGTTGCTTTTCTCGTTGGCGTAAGACATCTTCGTACCACTTGGCTCGGTTATGTTAAATTAGTTCGCTGACCTACTGATGTTTTGTACACTTGGTATAGCCATGTCATCTTAACACGATATGCATTTTATCTTGGGTTGGCTACCTGCTACCTTCCGCGAAGACAGGTTGCTGACGCCACGCAACATGAGTTCACAATCGCGCCCTTGGTCACCTCGGTGTTCTGCGGACCGCGGGACGTCCGGCTCAGTTCGTGTTCCGGCTTAGCCGTCGACAACTCCCTGATAAGGCGGCCGAAAACGCAAACTTGTTTTGATGCGCCGCGGAATTCCTCCTCGTGATTTCTCAAGGTCGTTTGAGTGCTGCTTACGACTTGACTGAGATGGCGGTCGGATCAGGGGATATGGGCTTGAAATGAGAGGACGTAAACTCATCCACGCTGTATTTGGCGACATGCGTGACATTTTAAGGATGTTTTTAGAAACTTTCTACTGCAAGCGCGCACAGTTCGCGGGCATCAGGACCGATAAAAGGCCGTCTGTGCGCTGTGTCTATCAAGCTGCCTGTTGCGGTGTCGAACTCATTATCTGGGATTTCCGCATGCATCCTTAGAGTCGTGACACCGCAGCCTTCTGGTTTTCTATTCTATTGAGTTTCCGAGGCGTGGATGTAAGCTGTATTATGCTGCATCCCGACTCCAACCGCATCCTGCAATCGCCTGATCACCCCAGCCCACGTACAGTGCGGATGGTCGCAGGTGACATCATAGCCCGGTCGGCGCCAACTGGGTATGACGTCACGGGCTGCTGCCGTCAGCTGGGAGCGGTCGTGGCGCCATCTCACCGGCGCATACCGCCGTGCTGAGAAGCCACCGCAGGGCGCCGCATGATAAGATAGCACGCTGCGCGATTGTGGCATGCGGCCGTGCGAGCGGGGATGGGTACCGGGGGTGTGGGGGACGGTCACCTCGTACAAAGACCAGGACTCGAGGCCTGATGCATGATGTCTGGCGACCAGATGGAAAGGACGCTGGACTAATAGACTGCGCGTGGGCCCTGCGGTGGTGTGAGCAAGCCGTCGTAGGCCCTGAGGGGGGGGGGGGGTCGGGGTTCGAAGCGGAGTGGTCGCGGTAGGGACTCCCGTACCATAAGTCCATTCGATGTCTCGGCGTGAATTCAGAAGCCGGCTGTGTTTGTAAAACCTCAGAGGCGCTCCGATCACATCATTGAGGCGACGTTGACGGTGTCTGGAAGGTAATAACAGCCGCTGAAACATGTCTCAACCCTGGTGAGCTGTAGCCACCGCTAGCCCCGCACTCGCCATCCTCAGCTGGTGCTGAGTTATACGGGGGGGGGGGGGGGCGGGCGCCGAGATGTCCCGCCCGACCCCGACCTGTCTTCCTCCCTCTGATCAGCTGGGGCGGGTGCTGAGGTGTCCGCCCGACCCCTGGCCTGGCTCTCTCCTCCTCCTCAGCTGGGGTGGGTGCTGTGGCCTGCCTCCCTCCTTCTCCTCAGCTCGTACTGCCAGCGGGGCGGCGGCTCCATTCATTGAGCGTGCCAATCCGACAACGCCCCGGCCTGGGCGGGGCCGCGTCGGGCTGCGGTGCCGACGCACGCGCGCCATAGGGCTCCAGCCACCACCGACGGCTGCGCCCTCCGGCGGGGCATGTGTGAACAACGCCGGCCGATGTTTGTCCAGTGATGACCAACGAAAATGCAAATGGCCGCAGACTAAATATTTAGGCGTCGAGCCAAAACATGTAACTATCATGAAACTGCTGGGATAACTAATTATGGATTGAATGTTCCGTAATCATGACCCGGAAACGGACCTCAAAGCAATTATGCAATGTGTTGCTCAAGTATTGGAAGGTACATGCTGAATAGGCACCATTAACGACGTGCTTCTGCTAAAAAGTCTCAACGGATAGGAATTGTATGTGATAAAGCATTCCGTTACGCATGTTCATTACCCGCCACCCCGCACCCCTCGCCTTCGCTTCTAGACACCGACTCGTGATCTAGTTCGCTGGCATATTCCGTCACGATGGCCGGCAGCTGGGGCGTCACCTCTGTTTCCGAGTCGAGCCGCCACCGGACGGCCAGGTCTCGGTGCGGCATTTCTGGGCGGCCGCACCGGAGCGGCCACCGTCGTACTACCGCGTCCCTGCCCCGCCGTCCGGCGCGGTCCACCCGGGAGAAAGTCGGCAGCGGCGGCCAGCCTGCACCGGCCCCCGGTCACGGACAGCCCCTCCCCCCCCCCCCCCGCCCCGCCTCATCGGCAGGCGGCGCACGTGCCGCCCCCGACCCGTCCGCGGCCGACAGTGCACGCGCACGTGCCGAATGAAGGCGGACGGGTCCAGGGCGGCCCACTTCGGCGGCCACGGGCAACCCAACGCTGGTCTGTAGCCTGCATGCTGGTTTAGGTTTTGTGGGTGATGTTAAGATAAGCCCAGTCGCTTCATCGGCTTGGACACTGGTAGTGTCGTCTCCTTGCCCTGCCGTCTTTGTTTTGAGTCGTTTAGCCGTTGAGGTCTTGGCCACTCACATTAAATTAAATAAATTACCACAGCAACGCTGTCCCGACTTTTTAAAATAATCTCCGTCCAAATCGGCCAGCAAATGCAACCCT